AAATCATCAATTGTCTCCTTTGAAATGCCGTGTACTGTGACACCTGCCATAGCGCCGGTCACTGAATGTTGATAGTTTGTCTGAGTGAGGGGAGGGGGCGTGGCTTAGCCATAGGTCAATTACTTAGAAATAAAAAAAAATGCGAATAAAACCTAACTTTTCCTGGTGCAATGCATACTGCCGCAAGAGGTGCCTTTGTGCGTCGGTATCTGACGCAGAGACCACTGACAAAGTTCAGGTATTTGACAAGTTGGGAGTGAGACTGAGCTGTCACTTTAGAAACATTGATATGATACATGTATGAAACATAAAACATATTTGTGGTTTACAGAAACGTACAATATCACATTCTTCCTCTGACACCCGCTAAAAATTTATCTTCAGCTTGACTTTAGCTCAGCAGCTGATTCAACCACGGGCCAACAGACGCACCACGACACAGCTGATCACACACAATAATCATCATCTCTCAATCATCTGATATCACATCAAACGTCTGCACAGAAATCGCCCGCTCACACTGAAAAGACTCCACACCCTCCAAAAATAAACCTCCTCTCTTTCCTCTCTTTCCATCTCTTTTGTCGCAGCGACTCCAGCGTGGATGACAATCTAATTGCATCCTCATCTCTCTCCGGTTTAATGGGCTGTCAGGTAGCATCATTACACACTTTCATTGCTTCCCTGTGCAACTCGCATATTGACAATAACTGACAATATGTGTGTGTATTTGTGTGATGGGGGGAAGGTGCAAATTGTTTAAGGGTTGTGTGAGACAATACAGCTAAAAAGTGTGTGAACATCAGCAGCAGAGGCCGACTGGTGCGTACATATGTGTGAATGTCCTAATGTTTCCAGATAATGAGCACCACTCTCCTCACAGGGACTAAAAAAATAAATGAATAAATTCTGGGATCATTTTGGACGTGAAATACAAACTTGGAAGAAGTGGTCGCATTAGTGTAAACTGAAACAGCGGGTAATAGACAGATCCAAGGTTGTCCATGGTTTCACCTGCGTGTAATACAGAGAGGGCATGTTGCTTCACAAGACACAATATGATGGACCGAGGAGTTGACTGGGTTCTCAAAAATTTGACTCTATTCTCAACCTTTCTAGTTTATTCTTGACATTTTCATTTTATCGCAACATTTTGACTTTGTTCTTGATTTTTTCAACATTTCTACTTATTCTCAGTATTTCAACTTCAGTCTGGGCATTTAGACTTTATTCCTGATGTTCGACAGTTCAGCTATTTCCTACATTTCTAACATATAAACTAAATTCTTGAACTTTCAACTTTACACCCGACATTCTCAGCCTTTCAGCTTTATTCTCTACACTCTTGGAATTTGACTTTATTCTTGAGATCTCAAGTTAACACTCGACATTCTCAGCATTGCAAATGTATTTCGTCATCTTACTGTATGTTACTAAATAATGACGAAAACTCTGTGTGTGTGTGTGTGTGTGTGTGTTCCACGTTTTTCTCCTCACTGACTTGGACAATCCATGTGAAATTTGGCACAGTGGTAGAGGGTCATGGGAGGATGCCAATGAAGCAATATTACATCAATTGGCCAAAGGGGGGCGCTATAGCAACCAATTGAAATAGCAAACTTTGAATGGGCATATCTCATGCCCCATATGTCGTAGAGACATGAAACTTTGCACAGAGATGCCTCTCCTCATGAGGAACACATTTGCCTCAAGAACCCATAACTTCCGCTTATATAGATTTTCCACCATTTTGAATTTTTTGAAAAACACTTCAAATGGATCTCTTCCTAGGAAGTTTGAGCGATCTGCATGAAACTGGGTGAACATAATCTAGGGACCAATATCTAAAGTTCCCTCTTGGCAAAAGTTGGAAAACTTACTAAAACTGAGCTTCTATAAGGCAATGAATATTGCGGAGGGCGTGGCTCATCACATAAAGGTGTATAACATCTCAAGGGTTTCAGCCATCACCACGCAACTTTGTAGGCATATGACCACACATAATCTGAGGGGACCCCTCCATTATTGACCCCATCAAACTAAATGGGGGTGCTAGAGAGCTCATTTCTTATCTAGGCCTAACCGCCATATGGATTTTTACTAAACTTGGTAGATATGTAGAACAGGACGCCTCAAGGTGACTGGAGAAATTTAACTCTAATTGGCAACTGGGTGGCGCTATAACAACAGAAAAATGCTTCAAAATGGCTAAAATGTGACCGATCGCTGTGGCTCCCCCTGTGGACCAATGTTGGTGTTTTCTAATTTTTGGTATGACTAAGTCATGGTATGGTATGCTGTACATAATCACGGAAACTGTCAGTGTGTCATTCTGTCAGTCAGTCATTCTGTCTGTCCCACGTTTTTCTACTCACTGACGTGGTCAATCTATGTGAAACTGCACATAGGCATTGAGGATTGGCATAGATAGAAGGTGACAAAGCTACCAATGGCTATGGACTAGTTTAGACTTTATTCTCAATGTTTTGACATTTCAGCGTTATTTTGTAACACTTCAACTTTATCCCCTACATTGGCATTGACTATTGCATTTTGACTGTATTCTTGACATGTAGACATTTCAGCTATTCCCTACATTTGTAACATATAAACTAAATTCCAGAACTTTCAACTTTACACCCGACATTCTCAGCATTTCAGCTGTATTATTGACATTTCAACTCAATTCCCTACCTTCGACTTTTTAACTTTATTCTTAAAATTTCAACTTTACACCCGACGTTATTTCATCATTTCAGCTTTATTCTTCATATTTTCACACACCAACTATTCCCTTTGTTCATGACATATAAACTTTATTCTTGAAATTTCAACTTTACACCCGACATTCTCAACATTTCAACTGTCTTTGACATTTCGTCATTTCAACTCTGTTATTGACATTCCAACTTTATTCTCTACATTCTCGAAATTTTGACATACTCTTAACAATTCAACATTTGAACTTTATTCTCCACAGTTCCACTTTTTTCGTGACATTTCAAGTTTATACTCCACATTCTTGACATTTTGATTTTATTTCTGATATTTTAACTTCTTTCTTGACTTTAATAATTGCAACTTTTTGACATTCCCTGCATTCACCATTTTGACTGTATTTGATATTCCTTGCATTTCTAATTTATTCTCAACATTCTTGGAATTTTGGCTTCATTCTTGATATTTCAACATTTTGACTTTACTCTAAACATTTCAGCTTTATTTTTGAAATTTCCACCTTACACTCGACATTCTTGATATTTTGACTTTAATCCTGATATTTCAAATTCTTTCTTGACATTTCAGCTTTATTCTTCACATTCTCATAATTTCGACTTTTTGACATTCCCTGCATTTTGACTTTATTCTCGACATTTCAACTTCAACTAAAAAGCAAAATTAAATAAACCTTCCTCCTCTCATTTTTCCTCTATACTGAGCCCTAATACTCTTCTGTAGATGGGGAACACAATCTACAGTCCTCATCTTGAGTTTATCTGAGACCTTCCAAAGTTACAGTGCCGAGGACGCACCAAGGCTTTTGCGAATGAATGTACTGAATGAAGCGTAGTAAGACAAACAAGTTTGTGTTTGTTTCAGAAGAGACTCTGAGGATCATTTGAGTGCGACTGCACCGCATCGTTTCTTCAGCCACCAGCGGAGGAGCAGTAATTAACTTTCCACACAAAGCAATAATGTTGCACAGATTAGGCTGAGCCGCAAGGAGCAGGAGACAGATCAGATCGCATCCATCAGCGGTGAGACAGCTGTCTGAGGCTGACTGCAATAAGACTTCAGAGCAGGAAACCACGTCACGAGTGTGTGTGTGTGTGTGTGTTTGAGAGTAGGGTTTGAAAGTCACTATAAATACTCTTCTCACTGTATCTGAGAGGCTTTTTTAAAGTTGTTTTTTTTTTTGAGTAAAATCTAAAATAAATCATTCTGCTTTCACGTCAGGAGATTTGTGATGACGTACGGAGCTCGTCTATTTTTGGAAAGATAAGAATCAGAGGCCAGTGTATTGTTCTGCTGTTACCTGTCAGTCAGGAACATTTTCCATTTCAGTTTGCTTTGAAGAAGCTTTTTCCTGTGGAGAGTGATCGGTGAGAAAGATCATGTTTGAAGACTCAACTTCACTCTTCTTAAAACTAGTCTGGGAGAAGGGGATAACATTAAAATAATCCACTTTTCCCTCCCCTCACATTAATACTGGCAGTGCTGTTTGCGGTCTGAATAATGTGGCACATGTGGTGTGGTTCATGTGGGACCTGTCAGTAATGCTCAGAGCTGCAGTTCCTGGCCCATTAGAAAAGCAGAGACCTTTTCAGTGTGAGACTTTCAGGATGGTTGTTTGAACAGGTTCTGACCCACACCCACAATCAGCCATTAGCCAGAAGGCTCATGAAAAACGAGACAGAGACAAATACCTCTCTTTCTAATAGACAAGATATTCATTAGACACAAGAGTGTGAAAGCAATCTGACAACTCTGAGACTGTCTGCATTCATCCTGCTCTTATCTTGTCTCTCATTTAAAAAGAACTGAAGGATGGTGGACTGAAAACAAGTATTTGGTTTTTAAGTCAAATACTTGTTTTGGTATTTCTTCATTAGAACTGACTCCTCCTCCACCACTGCATATACAGTCTAACATCGACACAGCTTATTCCTCTAAGACAAACCTTGGTGAAAAGCAGAAAGCCTTGGGCTGTTTCTGCAACCTCTCCAGCTGCTGCCTCATAAGTTGGGACAACACTGGAATAGTTTCAACAACAAATTCAAGTCATTTTGGGAATGCAAGGACATGCCGGTGATGTCAGCGTGTCACAATAATTCATCAAACTATCAAAAAAATGATTTTGCTTTAACCCGTCAAGTCGTCCTTCCACTGAAGGCAACAGAAAGGGCTCAGCTGTCGACACGCTGAACCCTCTCTGAGTTGGTTTTTGTTCAACTTTTCGAGCAGCTGAGATCTTTGGGGGCGTAATGAGAAACACACACCTGGTCAGAATATCATCAGGAATCCAGACGCTTATTAGAAGAAATAAGATTTCTGGAACACTCGAATTCAAGAACTCTGACAGCCTATGTGGGGGAAAAGCATAAACATACAAGTCTGTGGATATTCTTTATATTTCCTGTTGGCAGCATGAACATATTTCATAATTTTTACTCACCAGAATATCTGGTGCTCAGGAGGACGAGCAGAAACAAGACGAAGAGATCAGGCAGGAAGATGGCAAAGACGAGGTCCAAAAAACTCAGGAACGCTACAGAGAAAAATGCTGGAGCTGATCCAGAGAAAGGGAAATACAGACTGAATACAAAGAGGAGGAAAGGATAATGAGGGACAGGTGAGACTAATCAGGGCAGACAATCACAAAGGTGGCAAAAACACAAGGGCAGGAAGTTAATCTAAGATGAGGTAAGAGGTGAGTTTTCAAAATAAAACAGGAAACAGCGAATAAAGGAAAACATAACCTAGAGAGGACAGCGACATATGACACAATCTCCAAAGAGATCATCGAAGGATCGTACACCAACAGGAAGGAAGGAAGCAGCACGAAGTGTTTAACTCAGGTGGTCACTTTAGGGATTTTTTTCTACTAATGCAGGAAAACATATCCAGCAGGTGTTGTAGATAGATGTGTTTGCAGAGTGTCATAACTACATGAACAGACAGATCAAGACACCTGACAGTGATGTTCAGGGGCATCATAATGGGGGGGAAAGGGGCTCCTGCTCTCACTCCCAACTCATCAAATACCGCCGCTTTGTCAGTGGACATCAGCAGCAGACACCAACGCCCGCAACTACCATAGTATAAAGAGTGAGAAAGTCTGCATTGGATGGGTGGGAGCGGAGGTGGAGGGGTCAATCACACTCCCGACTTTTACCCAGGAGCCCGTTGTTCATTTCTCGTGTGGAAGCAAACGTCAGTTGATTTATTTTAATAACAACATAGTGTGCATAGCATGCTACACGAGTGACATATGTCACATGAGCTGCTAGCTAACCGTAGCTAACTTGTTTGTCCATTGTTTGGTCTGTGACGTAATAGGTCAACAGGAAAAAGGTCCAATACTAACAAGCTGAAAGGGGGCATATCTCCACCTATCGTAGAGGAGTCGCACATACTTGGCTCAATAAATGGATTCCCCTCCCGTGCTTGTATACTGGGACAAGGACAGTAGTCCAGTTAAATGTCCTAGTTGAGCTGTAACTGTAGGTCGAATTAACTGTGCATGGAAACGTCCTGAGTGACTCTCCTCAACATGTCAAAGACCAGCAGAGCTTTCCTGAGTGGTACCTGATACCGATTCAAGAAGAAAAAGACATAAGCTCACCTCTTTGAAATGGCTAATAGAACTTATTGTTCCACACGTATAGCTTCCCCAAATTAAGTACACTTAAAAACATTAAAAAACCCAATTCTCCTTAAAATGAAAAGCACCAGTTATCCAAGGTGCAACAACAATCTTTGTCATAGCTGAATTCAGAGTGCATACTATATCATGTTAATTTCTCCAGCATCAAAGGCTTAATACGGCCAAAAGAGAGCTTTGGAGACTCAATCAGGAGACCAGATTGTTGTTGATGATGAAGAAGTCAATTAAAGTTTAATTAAACAATGATTTAATTTAGTTATTAAATATTTTAATCAAAAGAATGAAATGAAAAACCCTGGTGGAACTGATCAAAAAGTTTTTTTAAAAAAGTGACCATTTTGTGGTCATAAGGAAAATATAGGAGGTTTTTTCTCAAGAGGGCACAAGGGTTAAAGTATATAGTAGTACAGTAGTGCAATTATATAGTAGGAGAGATTTTGCAGTCTTAACCTTCATCTGACCCTGCAAGAATTAAGTTAATTTCAGTCAGATGTTAGAAGACTTACCCAAGGTCGATGATTCAACTCCGAACTGCAGAAGTTCACCAGCTGAGTTGTTCACCACAACTTCATCCTGAGAGCTGTGCCCTCTTTCACTTCCTCCATGAGCCTCACTCTCTCCTCCTGTGTCCTCACTGTGTGTCTGTGACACATTACGGCAAAATTACAGCCTCAAAGAAATGAGATTTTAGTATGATCTATGCTTTATTATGGTTGAGTTATTTGAATGACACTCTGAATGGAATTACTTTCTACTGAAGAAATGCTTTGTATGAAACCCTTTCACAGAGAGATCTGTGGATGAATGTGTCTAATTAAAAAATACCATTGATATAGAAAATATTTCTGTTTTCCTATTTTAACAAGTTAACTATTACTGTATTTAAAATTGATTTTTTAAAATGGATTTAATCAACATATTCTCACTCCAAGCTTGTCACATACCACTGCTTGTTCAGTGGACTTTTGATGTCTACATAACATGGGAAACAGTCCTAAATTGGCATGATGTCCCAAAACGTCGACAGCAGATGCACCCAAGATGCCGAGGACGTAATATTAAGACATGGAAGTCCACTGACCAAGTGGTGATATGTGACGAGTTGGGAGGGAGAATATGTTGGCATAGTTATTTACAACTCCCAAAAAATTATTTTCATGAACTCTTTCTATGTCAACATCATTTATCATCATTTGTGCTGGATTACTGTTTTTTTTTTATCTCAAAAATTATGAATTTGGTCTTATATGAATTTCCAGAAGCTGCTCAAAATCTTTACCAGAACCAAATACATTTGTATCATCCACAGATAAAACAAACATTACTATTTTGGACACAGAGGTCATTAATTTACAACAAAAATAGCTGTGGACCCAGCACTGAACCCTGTGGAGCTCCCCACGCTGGTCTCATTGAGAATAATGTCTCCTTTTCAAGACGGACTTGTGCAGTATAAACAGGTTGCTGTGGCAGAATGGGATGATCAATACTATCAACATTTCTGGGTGCTGATTGATATGTATTGCAATTTTTAAGTATTGAAATCCTACAAGTATTAGTACTAGTACTAGTATTGCAATTTGATATTACGATATTACAGTTTACTTTTTTAACACTAGACCACTGGAAAAAGTTAAATCATACGCTTATAGAAACTGTTTATCATAAGTCAAAAACCACATCTATTGTTTATCTGTCTCTCTACCTTTTATTTCAGCAGCATCATATACTGCAGAGGAAAGTGGGAAATTAACTAATGACTTACTCCAGTGAAGCACTTAGTGACCTCTGTGCTCTGCGGAGGGTGCCAAAGGTGTCATTCAGTTCTATCCAGAGTATCAGTATTTTAGGAATGTGAGACTAATGAGGCAAAGAGGCAAAAAGGGACAACGGGAAGAAAGTGGAACTACAATTCCAGGAGGACAATCCTAGAAGCATGTGGCAAGGTCTAAAATCTATGAAGCACTACAACTGTTCTAACCGATGTACAGCAGACGCCATAGCACACATCCTCCACACCACTCCGTCTCACCTGGAAAAGACAGGAAGCTATGCGACTGTCTACAGTTCAACGTTTAACACCATAGTTCCCTTCAGGCTGGTCACAAAGCTCAAGGAGCTGGGATTAAACACTTCACTGTGTGCATGTGGATCCTCGACGTCCTGACAGGAAGAGCCCAGGCGATGAGAGTGGGCGGACACACCTCTTCCACCCTCATCCTGACCACCGGAGCGCCCCAGGGCTGTGTTCTGAGACCCCTACTGTACTCCCTATACACACCAGCTCATACTCATTCTGAACTCGTCAAAAAACGTCACTTTGTCAGTGATTTTAGCATCAGACACAGACACACAGTGGTGATACACTGCCAAGCAGTGTCAGTGTGTAACACCCTGGGACAGTGTCAGTGTGTAATGCTGCTGGATGGCATCATTTTTGAAATAATGCCCGATGGCGTCAGTTTGAAGCACCGCCAGTAACAACATAATGTAAGGAGCTGGAATGTCCCTGTAGCGCAGGTGGGAGAGGAGACACCAGACTTTTACCCAAGAGCCCGCCCTAACCCCTATCCCCTAATCCTAACCCCACTTTCTGTGTGAATATTAAACCAAACCCTGTTTTTTTTCTAAACCTAATCCCGTGCTTTTGTTGCACAAGGAAATCAACATATAAATGAGGTGTTTTACCACTGTTCCTTTTGAACTACAAGTTAATTTTGAAAAAGACTGTATGCATCTAAAATGCAGAAAATGAGGTGTAAAAGCATTTTGAAAAGACACAATGCATGTAACAAGCGTCTATTGACACAGTCCTGGAACGTCAACAGCAGATGCAAGAGGATAACTATAGTGCATCTGCATCATATTTAGACGTGAAAGGACACTGACAAAGTGGTGATATTTGACGAGTTAGGATGAGAACGCGTTGTACACACATGTACAACAACACCATCATTAAGTTTGCGGACGACACAGCTGTGGTGGGCCTGCTCACAGATAACAATGAAAAGGCCTACCTGAAAGAAGTAGAGGACCTGATCTGCTGGTGTCAGGACAACAACCTACTCCTGAATGTCAGCAAGACTAAGGAGATGGACTTTGGGACGAAGCAGCAAAGGAACTATATCCCCCTTAATATCAACTGGTCCTCAGTGGAGATGGTGGACAGCTTCACCTACCTTGGTGTCCACATCACTGAGAGCCTGGCCTGGGCGCTGCATACTGACTCAGTGGTGAGAAATCTAAGCCAAGGACTGTTTTACCTGAGACACCTGAGGAAAGTTTGGGTATCCAATCAAATACCAAGGATTTTGAAGCAATTTGATGGAACTAACAGAATTACATTTCACTGACATTGTATTTCATATCATTTAATGTGATAAATACAATAAACAAAATGCTGTTAACAGTGACTCTCTCATCAGAACAGTGAAGTCATTAATTGAACGGGGTTAAGGTACAGAGAAGCCTCACCCTTAACAGAAAAACACAGACCACAGAGGCTTCCAGAGAAAAACCAAATGATTCCTGCTGTATTCTGAAAAGATAACTCTTTAAAAAAATCAGCAGAAAGAAGAAAGACAACAAATGCTAGATTAAAAAAAGCCCACCCTATGTCCTTACATAATCAACATGATAAATTCAATTAAACGAGCTATGAGTTTATATTTCAACATCCTAGTGTTGACACAGCAATTGACCCTTCGCTAAGTGCTGCCTATAGATCCAGCCAATCATCATGTAGTATCAGCCAGCTCCGACAAGCGTCCAACAACTGCACAGCTGTGCTCCATAGACTCATGAAATTGTTTCAGATTTCCTTCATTGTCAGGCTGGTTTTGAGTATTTCGAGGTTGGAGATGTTTCTTCCCTGTTCAAAAACCAAAATCCAACCCTGTAAAGTGTAGGGTTAGCTAGCTAGCAACA